TTTCCTTAAGAGGGCTTCCACTGTACTGGGCTTCATACTGTGAAGCTTGAAGATTTTGGTGTGATATTGACAGAATTTCCTCAGCTGTGACCCCCTAAAATTTTAGCACAAGTTAATTTTAAAAAGAGCTAGAATCTAATCTGGATCCCCTGCTTTCCTACTACTTGTTAGAAGAGGTATGATAGAATAAGATAGAATAGAATAGATTATTTCAATTGGAATGCAATGAAAAGCTAGTCCACCTGTCTGACCAAGGACCAACCAAGACAAAGTAGTAGTTAAGGGCATTGTTCAAATGCTTCTTCAACCCTGATATGCTTGAGGCATTAACCACCTCTAGGGAGCCTGTTACAGTATTTTACCACCCTCTCATTTAGTTAAAAAATGCTTCCTGCAGTCCAGTCTAAACCTCCAGATGAAGGGCATTAAATAGTTCCTTGAAAACTGAAAGAGTTGTACACGGTGTATAGGTCCAAGGTGAAAGAGTGTACACAGTGATAATGCTGGGCTTTTGCAGTCTAGAAAATTGCAATCCGAGCTATACAGCTTATCTGCGCTCCTCTGTAATAACAGGAGGTCCAGTTCAGTGGTATTTCCTTTTTGCTTTCCTCATGTAGGATTGTTTTCAGTCTTGTTTTTACCAATCCTCTGTAAGAGATTGAAAAACAACTGTAAACTTTGAAATTGTGATTAATAAATTGATCTGTTAAAGGTATGTGTTTGTATGTTAAATGCATACAAGTAAGTATAGTATAAAAGTGTTATGCAAACAATGGAGAAATGATTTTCACATGAAGTCTTTATAGATATTATAGATGTGATTCATAGTTCAAGTTTCAGCTAGAAATTGTATTCTTCCTGTGCTCTTTTTTTCAGGAAGAAAAGAATTATTGCTGTGAACTTAGTGTATAATCATTTTCATGCATAAAAGAATGTGTATGGATTTTGAGAATTTAGTTACTGATTTTCAAAATTGAAGAATTCCAGAGCACAATGCTCTTTCACACTTTTTTCAACTGCTTGTGCAAATTCCACGTGGAAAAACTGGCCTGCCACACATGTGGCATAATTTACATTCAGCTTTGCAATACTTCACTTTTCTCACTGTTATGACTGGATTTCTATCAACAAGTCCAACTTCTAAAGCTTCACATGGTAAGCATGTAAGTAGCTCAGTGAAAACCAGTCTTTCTTATGGGCAAGTAACTGAGTGTACTCAAAATATATGGTGGTTCTGGATTTTAAAGTTTTACATTACTTGAAGAAAAGTGTATTGCAGCTTAAGTAGCTACACTTTTGGGCATACATATTCTTTTTGTATATCTAAAGAATAGGGCATAGCAAATGGTCTAATCTGACTATCACAGTTTGTCTTTGGATCTGGGTATGTGAAATGTCAATGTCCACAATGGTAGTCTTTTGGCAGTTGTCTATGAAAAATGTCACTCCTAAACAGACATCAGCTATGTAGAGAATCTCCATTTCACACTTAGATATATAATTTTCAAAGTAAAGAAATCAAAAGGGTAAGTGCTTCCTCCAGCCTGTGTACAGCATGAACTACAACAGGAGAAAAATAAGTGAATATATTCATCAACTTCATGGACATGTTTGTATAAAAGGAATCTTTTGTTTCTTTATTTCTTGGTGTTAGAAATTAATTTTTGGCACAAGTAAGATGCATTATTAGTAAAGTCAGACTGCTTGTATTTTTTCATTGAATTGAGGATGAAAAATGCAGGCAAATCCTTGGAAGCTGATACTGCATTCACTGATGAGAATTGTAGAATGTGCAAATTGTATGTTACACTAGATAGTGATTTCCTTTTAATGCTGAAGATTTTTCTCTGGTAGCTCTTGTATTAATGTCATTTGTGTGAATGTTATAACAACTGGTGTGGCGACAACTTTGTGCATGATTGCTGTAAAACTCAGTGTCTCAGAAACAAGGAATTTGCCTGATACTGAGTCCCTGGTTATCTGATGCAGAAACAAGGTTTGCATAAGTCCCAGCAGTTTACATGAGTAGTTTGAGCAGTAAATCATGTGCAGTTCATTGCTCTTGTTCTGTACTTGTGTTTTGATATACTGGTATTTGTCCCCGCCAAATGCTTGTCAATTCACTACTTTCTGAATGACTACCTTGTCTTTACTTTTGAATAACAGCAGGGGCAGGTGGCTGTGTAGTTTCCAATCAAGAAAGAATGCTAATGAATTATAAAGAACTCCTGACTTGCATTTAATACCACTGTGACATGTTATAACAGCCTGCCAAACATAGCATTTCTTATAAATCACACTTCAAGGGGCAAAAATATCCACCTGTCATATCTGAGGCCTCTGCAAAAGTCGGTGTTTGAAGATAGTATGATTTACTCCATCTTGTAAAGTACCCTTTTATGAGAAATTTTTCTTTTTTTAACGGAAAAAAATAGGAGAATTTAATATTTTATCCCTTCTGCCCAGCCATAACAGCATTGTAAACTTTATTTCATTTTTGGAAACATTCTATTGCTCTCTTCCAAGAAGAAAATCGATTTCAGGGATGATGTTTTAATAATAATTGGCAGCATGCCTGAAGTATTGTCTCATCAGGACATTTTACACTTGCATGTCCATGCAATGCCTAATCTTTCTTAGCAAGTTATTGATTTTTTATAAGTTTGTTAAGTACTGACAGTTTTTACATACTCGTTTTTGTGGTCATACAGATGACCTGGAGCCATGACATACCATTATCTGAAGCATTATAAAGCTCAGTGATTTATGTCCTAACAAATGGTGGCGCAAATCATAGATGTAACATGGGGAAACGCATATTAGTTCTTCACTAGACAGTGATGTGTAAATCAAATGGGTAAGGTGGTTTTTTGGGCTAAAACAGGGAGTGTTTGTTCCAGAACTGATCCTCAGGCAAGGGATTATTAATCATTTTCCGTTTTCAGAGGATAGTAAAATAAATTTTCTTCTTCAATTTGACATGATTAGCAGATATCAGTACAGAATTCTTTTCTTTTTGAAGATGTCAAGTCATCAGAGAGTTATTTCTGTCTTACAATGTAATGAGCAGGAAGGAAGTCTCAGCACTCTAAAGGAAATGTTCAGCCATCTTAGAGCTTTCTACATTTTCTGTTACATACTTGTATAAGAGATTTGTACAGCTCTGTGAGATACTCTTCCGATTCATGGGAACAAGAAAGGCTAAATCCCCAGATGGTATAAATCAGTCTTGCTTTACTGAAGCAGTGGAGCTGTGCACTCGCTCTATACCAGCAGACAATGTCTGGGTGACAGCAGACATTAGAAAAAGGAAACTTAGGTCCATACATGTATTGTTTGCTATATATATTAGTGGTAAATACCAGTAATATAATCCCAATGGCTCCAGGGGATACAAATGTTAAAATGAAATTAATTAATTTTTTAAAAAGCAAAAGAAATTTTAAAATAGAAAATTAAAATAAAAAAGTAATGCCATAGTGCTGCACAGCTGTCACTAGAAGCACAAACCTAGTCTTCTCTTTTGGTTTATATATTACTTGTTCCATAATTTAATTAAAATTTTGGCATATATTTATTTTTTATTTTAGGATTACTCTATTTAAATGTAAAGTTGTGCCCCCTTTTTTTTAATTGAATCATACTCCTGATTTATGTGATCAAAAATCCTCTCTGGTCATATTGCCTTGTTACTGTCATATTACCTAGTATTATTTAAGCAATGCATAAATTCTCTTGCATTTGCACAAAAAATGTAAACAAAAAAACTTAGAGAAAGAACTAAAACCAAAAGTAAGGAGAAAAGGAAATGTTGTCACTTTCACTTGTTTTTCAATGAGCTCTTCAGGATTAGTCTCAATTCAGTCTTCATTCTTCCTAGATCAGGTGGGGAGTCTCAAGGGTTCATTCAGGGAATGTTGTGTGCAGGCAAAAGAAGGTCATGCCTGCCTCTTTTCCAAGGTCTCGTTATTCTGGCCACTCCCAAGAAACATCCCGTCTCAACAAAGGATGTTTTCCAGGACAAAAAGATCTCATTGACTGTGAAAACCAGCTACACCTCGCAAACAGCGTTTCCTGCTGCCCTCGCCATTGCCCTCCCTTTTGGGCTGATACACTTAGTGTTGGCTAAGTAGGGATTGATGTGAAGGGAGGTGGCTGACACAGATACAATAAGAAAGAATGGGACACAAAAATAAAAAATGTGTGAGTGCACACATTGTGAGTTAATAGTAATAAATCTACGCAATGAACTCCATGTGTTCAAAGATGATGAAAAAATGCTTTAAATATTTTTCAGCTTCCCTATAGAGTTATTCTTTTCTTATGTCAAACCTTGATCTATAGTTCTATGGAGGAAAGAGGCATTTGCAATGTTAAAACAATGCCTTTCACTTTAGATTTAAAACAGGATGACAGAAATATAAACATTGTATTAACCCATATTGATTTTTCTTCTCTTTTGGAGCAAAAGGAACAAAAGTAATAAGAAATCTTGAATTTCATTTCAAAGCCAGTCCCTTCATGCTTATTCTGAAAGTTTAGTCTTTTAAGTGTAAAAGTGCCTGCTGACATTATTAAGTACATAAGTCAATGATAAATTTTCCACTGAATTAAATAGAGCCACAATTTCATCTCAAGATATCAATCCAGATTTTAAAGTATGTGCGCATTTGCTTTTTGTTTAAATATAAATTGAAAGCTTAAGAACTGCATGGTAAACTATATATTTTCTAGATTATGCTGAGGAGCAGATTAGTGATTACAATTTGGCATTAGAATTTAACAGGAAAAACCAAGCTGTTTATCCCCTCCCTGAAATACTTTGGATCTTCCTCTGAAATTCATTTCCTCTGTGAGAGTTCAGTTACTCTGCTCCAGATTTAGACCTAGGTCTCTTCTGCATCATTCTTCAGTAAATTAACAGAGAACTATTGTTTTTGTAAAAACACCATATAATTTACAGATGGGACTGAATTCAGTGTGATGGCTGCTTTTTGCAGTGTTCTCAGCAGAGGGCTGCGTTGGTGGAAAGTCAAAGCACTGCAACTCGTTCACACCCAGTCTGGCAAAAAAAATGAGCATAATTTTTCATTTGGGAACTAGTATGGAAGCAAAGGAATGCTTTTGTGTGACAGGCAGGTCTGCACAGGTGTTGGGATCTGACCAACAGCCACAATATTGGCTAGGCAGGTATTTCCTTTGGGGAAAGAGGAACATAAACACTGTACCTGATCACATCTGTGTTCTTTTGGGGAGTCCTCCTGCCTTGAGAGTCCTCCCTGCCCCTTCCTGTCATCTGAAGGGGCTGAGTCAGCGTCTCTCACCCACCCTGCACATGTGTAACAATAAAGCTGTCTCAGCACTCAGCTGAGATGTGCACTGCACCCATACACTTGCCCAAGTGGGCTCCAGCAGCACAGCTGTCATAGCACACACCCCAGTATAGACTGTACCAGCTCACCTGCACACAGCCAGCTGGCCAACATCACAGTTCAGCTGCTTTGGCTGGTATTTGAACTGAATGGAGTACTAGTTGTTGGAATAACTTTGACTTGCTTAGAAGCACCTGTGTGGGCGCAATGGTTTTGCAGATGTGCTGTGAAATAATCTCTACGGTAGGCAATTGTTAGAAACAATCTGCCTTCTTGCTTGCTTAGAGCATTCTTGGGAGACATTTCAATCAGAATCATGGTCCAGAAATACTATGGTAGTCACAGGTACAGATGAATAGTACAGATTCACTAAAGCATCTTGTTAGTGTTGTCACAATGATGCATTCTTTTATTGAAATTTAGATTTTGGCCCAGTTTTCTGTCTTAACCACAAACATTACAACTCACTGTTAAATGATAATAATACAGTCATTATAATTGCTAAGCTGTCTGTGTGTGTTGGAGGATGATAAGTGCTATGATAAAATAAAGAGAAAATTCTACAAATTTGGGATTATGGAGATTGAATTATTGCTGTAAATGCAGAGATAGCTATTGTGAAAGATAAGGATGAATCTCTGAGGCTATATTCTATCTAATCAAAACATTTCCCACATGAAAAAGTAACAAAAGCAGTAAAGTGATAAAAGCAACATTAAGCTATATAAAGATGTGATATGCAGACAAAGAACCTATTTGCAAGAAACGTTTCCAGTTCTGAAAGACAATTATGACTATTTGGTCCCCTCAGAGTTCATTAACAAACACTTGGGAGCACTGATTAGGGCCTGTATCTTTGTTTTCCCACCGGCATAACAGAAATAATTAATGGCACCAAATGTGAAAAGATGGACTAAGAACCTGGTATTAGATTGTGGGACATATTCTTAGCCTTAAGCTAATTAAACTGAAACTGAAAAAACCCTTCTGATCCTCAACAGTTGAATGTTTTCTCTTTTATGTTATTTGGACACTATTTAACAATATCGATACCAGAGGGGAATAGAAGAATGGTGGTTTAATTTGTTTACTCCCTTTGCTGAAGAACTGGCTTTTAAGACCTTCAGAATTTAGATTTTTACAGAGCTCTAAGAAGTCAGAAGAATTTTTTATTTATATATAATTTTTTCTGTTATTCTGTTCATGCTTCAGAGTTTGGACAAAATCAGGAAAAAACTCTGATTTATATTTTTGAAATAAATCAAACCCAGCAACTCCTTAAGGTTTTGCAATTTTAAAACACTCTGCTGTTGCCTGTTCCTTCCATTAACAGTAGTATTTTTCCCATGGTTCATAAATTTCCAGTAAACCTCAGAGAAATATTCCAAGACCACAGATAATACTTGTTAATCTAAACCCAGCCCATAATGATTATTAATTATTTTAAGTGCTTCCTCCTTAGGTTTCTTTTCCACTGTTGGCAGACTGGGTTTGAGAAAGGCCAGCTAGCTGAATACCACGGAACATTTGCAAGTTAAAACCATGGAAATCATTAGAGTTATTTCAGATATGTACTGCAGTGTCCATCCATTTTGCTTCATGGATTTGTCTGTGGCTTCTCACATGACATCTGATTTCAGGACCTGATGCAAAATCCCCTAAGTCAGCAGGTTCACAATGAACTTCAGGGGGCTTTGGACTATTCCATTGAATTCTGCACCTCTTCTTACATCTGTGGATATTACACTGGGTAGAGGCCATCTTCCTAGGCCTGAAGCTCATGGAAAGCACATGAAGTTTTGCTAATGCCTTCTTTCCATAACCACAGGCATACCTCTGGTTTAAACCTGGGTCTTTTTCAGGACATCTCACCCAAGTCCCAGAGCTGAGGGCACTGTCCTGACTCACACACTGCTCCTGAGTGTCACAACTCAGCAGCTCTCTTGAAGACGGGCTTGTATAGCCAAAACTTGTCTTTTTTTTCCCTCTCCACACTGTAGTCTGCTGCTCTGAGGAAAGGCATTGGCTTCGCTTACACATATTGCCTTGCCTAAATACTTAACCCATCAGGAATACAGCGATGCCACTACTCAGCTTCTGAACTTGCCCTCTTCCTTAGTCCCCATGTCTTAGTTTTGACTGGAATGACTTTGGCTGTCCTTGGCTTGTATCTGCAGTGAGCTGCTGGGATACCGCCCTTCCCTAGGAGCAGCTTCTGCTCTGAGCTCCACTCCAGTGCCTTCTCTTTTGTTCCTTTTGTCATCCTTCTTTTTAACTTCCTTCCTAGATCTTTTCAATAGAAATGCTGCCGGGGGAGCTGCACTAAATAGAGATGTGAAGGATCAGTGTTTCCCTCCCCTGCTAGCTGCGGCTGGGCCCTGGGACATGATATGCAAATCTAGCAAGGGGTATGTTCTCTCTCCTTCCTTCCTTCTTGTTTGGGGACAGGATTTTCCCTTCTCCTTATCTGACTGCTTTTAACTTCCATTTCACATGTATCCTTTAATTAGCACATTCCTTCTAGCTTAGCTGGCTTTTTCCTGTTTACAGCATCTCCACAATTGCTACCCAGCTCTACAAATCATACCCTGCATGAGAAGTACTCATTGTAAATGTGTGTGTTACCAGGCTCATCAATTCTAGTTCACTGGGAGCTTGGAGTATGAATTCTGTATCACATATTAATAATGCAAAGAGTAACTTAGCACTGAAAGTGACTTCCTAAATGGCCTTCCTATTTTCTGTGTTTCATGGTACTGCCATACCTGAGTAGGTATTTCCAAGATAGAAAGTGCAAATATATCAGATGAAAAGACATAGAAATTAACTATATGTAGAAAATGAAATCAATCATTTTGTAAAGAGCTCTAAGTAGCCGAGTGTGAGAATACAGCTTGTTAAAGGCATAATTTGGCTCATATTGCTTCTCATGAGGAAGAGGAGAAGGGTTGTGATGTGACCCACTAAGAGTCTGCAGGTAAGAGCATAACGGAGAGATGAAAGGAAGGAACAAGAATTAGGGTAATGCTTTCTTTCCCCTTGAGAGCAGTGTGTCCATGTGACCAGGCCAGATGTGCAGTGTGACAGCTCTTTGTGATAAAGGAGCATCTGCAACATTAGGTGATGTAGGGCTCAAAATGTTCTTATTTAACAAGTTACAGTGTCAAGCAATGTGAAATACCTTCTGTAGTGAATTTTAAAATACTTTTGGATGAAAGATTATGTACAAATGGTAGATGGTTTTATAATTTTTAAATGATACATCATGATTTTGGAGAGGTCCTAGTAAAGTCTCTATACACTGTATGTATAAGCTGCCAAATCAGAAAACTAAATTACATCTCAGAAAGGCAGAATTCTTCTCAAAGTAAATTTGATCTCTGATTATGTAAGTTGATAAAAACTACTTACATAAAATTTTCATAAACACGTTAGAAATGTGAAGTGCCTTTCCACTATGTAATACTATTGCACAGACCATAGTAAGGTGAATAAAAGATTGGTGTATGTACTAAGGAACAGACAGAATTTACCTCATGTTACTTCTACAACTCAGTGTGAGTTGTATATATCAATATCAGTGGGAGAATACAAAATTGTCTCTGCAGTGTTCAGCTGTGGCTTCCATACAGTGCTGTCATGGCTTAGGAATGGTATTCTCCAATTTAATGCTCCCACTAAAACCACCCCACCACTCAGTCCCTGTCCAAGTAAAAGCAAAAAAGCCAAAGATTGTGGGTTGAAATAAAAACAATTTAACAGCAATAAAATGAAAAAATGAACAGTAACAGTAATGATATTAAGAACAAAAGGTATAAGACAAAGAAACCATTTACATGTAGAATAAAACAGTACTGGACTGTTTTGCCCACACCTTTCTCCCATGGAAGGAATGCCCTTCTTCTTGGAAGCCAGAGTCCTTTCCCCCAGCCCTGGCAATGATGTGAGCTGGTATTGAATTACATTTAAGGTCCTGGCCAAAACTAGGACAAGTGCTAGGAGAGATCCTGGGTTTAGGAACTGTGTTGTAGCCATGAATGTCAAAAGAAAGAATTGATGCTTATAGACTGAGGTAGGCTTTTGTTAGACCATCTGATATAATTGGAAAAAAGATCAAAAGTTTACCTGTTATTCCGTCTGACATCAATCACTCAAGATCTTAAAGATATTTAATATATCAAGATACTTTAAGATACTTTTATCATACAAACCTTTTCTGTTATATTTATCTTTCTAAGTAAAAAGGACGTACCTTCTTATGTCAAATGTGCACTTTTTAATATTGGTTACTTGAGACATTGTATGTGACAAAGGTAAAGCAAATAAAAAAAGGAGCTTTGATCAATGTTAAGCAGAGTTTAACCCAGGCAGACTTTCCAGGCAGAGCTTATTAGAAAGGACAGATCTCTGGTGAGAGATTGCAATGGAGTGGGCTGGACAGTGACGTGAAGAAGCACACTGAAAGGTTTAAGCTGAAGTATGCAGGTTTAATTTTGAGACAATAATCAAAGATGGAAAAGAGTTTAAGTTGGGGTTTTTTCTCATTCTGAAAATCTTAGCGTGATAATCCAGTCTTTCTTTTTGTGAGACACAGACTGCAACATTGCAATTTCTTTCATTATGGCCAATGATTTAAGACTAAATTAAAACATTTTTTGGAATGGTACATGCTCTGGATTTAAGAGTGCAAATACAGGACAATTTATCCATGTTCATCATAGTTTTTCCAAAACCACCTCTGCTAACTTGATTATCCACTCAATAGATCCTGCTGCATCGTTTCCCCAAATGCTGAGATTTTTGGCAAAATAGATTGTGACCAATTGCTTTAAACTTTCTGTTCTTTATGTGCTTAGGATTTCTTAGCACGATGATTTTTCAACCTTCACTTGAAATTCCATCTCTAAACTATCATCTAGGCAGTGTAGGTGTGAATTGCATCTTTTATGGGAAAGGAAAATAACAATGGTTGTGTCCTTGCTTTACTGAACAGTCAGAAGTGACATGGGAGAGCAACAGAATAGTCAGGTTTGTAAAGTTTAGCTATGATACGTTTCAGTTGAATAAATGTAACTGGGCAAGAGAAGAGCAGTGAGCACTAGGGAGCATAGAGGACAGTGACTTTTTTTAGTTTGTCAATATGTAGAATAGTTACAGACATACTGGACTGTATTGGTTTGGCCAAGGTGGAATTCACTTCCTTCATAGCAGCCCCTGTGGCACTGTGTCTTGGAATTGTGACTAAAATAGTGTAGGAAACTAGTGAGTTTCCTAGTGAAGGAAACTCTCTCCTGTTGCCTGTTCCTTCCATTATCAGTAGTATTTTTCCCATGGTTCATAAATTTCCAGTAAACCTCTCTAGTGAGTAGACTGGGGAGTCGGGAACATAGCTGGGACATCTGACCCAAATCACCAAAGGGATATTCCATGCTGTATAACATCTTTATCAACATAAGAAACCCCTGGCGTGGGGTAGGGGTGAGGATTGGTTATTAAAGTTCCTATCTAAACACACATTTTCTTCCATTTTGTCTTCTTCTTCTCTTCCTCATGCTACTGAGGCAGTGGTGGGGAGTGAGTACCAGGTGGGTGAACCCACGGCCCAGTGGTTACTGCATGGGTTAATGGAGCATCAGGTTCTGTGGGGCCTTGGTCCCTCTGATCTGATTCCTCAGTAAGGATATGGCCAATTGGCAGTTCTGTGTCCTTAAACTCTGAGTCACTGAGGAACACTTTCAGGCGACCAGAATACCATGAAAAGTACTGTGCAGTTAAATGTCAGTGCCTAATGCTTTAGGATATATATTTGCATGTGGTATCATGCAGTTATCATCCTATATTCTTCTAACAGTGTTGAATGAAACATAGACATAATTTTTTCCAGAACAGGTGCTTTTGTCAGATAGACTAATTTAATAATCATTCAATAAATAAGTGCATTCTTCATTTTAATTGCCTGCAGCACTTAGAATTTCCTGTCACAGTGATGCCACAACTGAATGCCTGTCTCTCACATTATATCTCTCACTGCATCCATGCCACCAAAAAATGCAGTTTAATCTTTGGGTATCTGTTCTTCACGAGAGGAAATGTCTGACCTGAGTAAGAGCAGGAATAGCAAGGGCATTTTTGTGCCACTGCCACCTAGCTCAGGTGACTGGTGAAAAGCAGTCCGCTAGCTGGAAGGGTTATTCCTAGTGTGGGGATGAGGCTGGGAAGTCCTAGCACAGCAGTTGATCACTTAAAACTCAGATGGCAAGTAAATAGTGAAAGACTAAGAAAACTTTGCAGCATCATTCAGAAGATGAACATAATTTCATCTCCAGTTTCCAAATTTTAAACTTTTCTTTATTGATTGAGTTTTCTTGCCTTTCCTTGGTGACTATCTTGTCATGTCCAGTCAATTAAAAGATGTTTAAAACCTGGAATAATACTGTAATATAGACAGGTAGGTTTGAACTTCATCAGTCATGAACATTTCTAAAACTATTGTTTTCCTGTGATGCTGAACAGGTAGCGCCATCTGACACTCAGCTTGAAATTTTAGTGGAGAGCAAAGGCAGGATGTGTGGTTATGCTCTTTTCAGTAGCTGATACTGTGGTGAGTAGGAAGTGATGGCAGAAGTGGGCCTGTTGCATTACAACTATAGAGATTTGCATTCCAGCTGGTCCTCAGGGATCAGAGGGGTTGGCTGTGACTAGTCTCGATTTCTGATTATGAAATATTAGGCACTATTTGTGCCTATGTAGCTTCATATCACTCCTATCAAAGCATAGACAGTTATCTTGGGAACACTTGTGATCATCCTACTATTGCTTTTTTGGGAAAATGCTTTTGAATGCCTTACTGGACTAGCAGAAAATGGTCTACAGTAAGGATGGCAATGAGTATTCAGACAACAGAATACTTTTTTTTGCTTAGTTCTGCAGGAAATTTTAATACTGTCCTAGAGTACTTGTGAAGATGAAAAATTCTTTGTTCCCAGTTTTGGTGTATATATTAATGTTCTATCAGCAGTAGTGGAAATGCTTTTTAGTACCAGAGCAAATATTGCACCAATTATAATATCTTTTTTTTTTTACAAAAGTGTTGCTATTTAAATATAATGATTATAAATAAAAGTTGGAGTAAAATTCTTTAGGAATGGAAGAGAAAAAATTCCTTTTGTATAGGGCAGATGTTATTATGTCAAAGGAAGGTCAAAATAATATTGTGAAAATATATTCTAGTTTTTTCATTTTCTGCAAATCATCTGCTCTCAGGTTTGTGTAGAAAAACACTGGGTCAAAACGCTTTGGAGCCAGTGAGAGTTTTTCCACTGAGTGTCATGAGCTCTGTGTCAGATGCTTGTGGCTTATAACTTGTGCTAACATGCTGGACATGGGGAATCTGTTTCTCCACTCTTCTAATGCTGAAATTGGGGAGTTAGTGTTGTTTCTCTGCATCACAGTTTGCCAGACCACCAAGAGGTTTTACCTCGTCCTGTGCTGATGCGCAAACTGACATCTTTTGGTGACTCCTTTCCGCCTGTGCAGAGACCAAGTATAATGTTTGCCCTTCTACTGCCAGCACATGATGGGTTGGAGTCTTATAGGACAGATGCTAAAGACAGAATGACATTAGTCATGGCAGTGCTGGGCATCTGCCTGTCATAGCAGATGTTGCCATCTTCCTAACTTCTGTTGGCCTTAAAGACCAAGGACAAAATGGATTTTAAAGAGAGAATTTTCTTCTCAATAAATGGGATGTTTGAGACACATGAATAAGTAATTCCTTAAAGAATATTCATCGCTTCTTACCCACTCATTATCACCCGCAGTAAAAAGAAAAATTTAGATCTGTTTGCTCAGCGACGACAAAGTTTCATGATTACATTTTTATGATGTTATTAAGGGCAAGGTAATTCCTCAATTCAGTTAGTTTTGGGCAAGTAAAATTACAACAAGTATTCAGGGCCTCTTTCAAGAAAACTTTTCTTCCCATGAACCAAGAGTTTCTTTAACCACTTAGTATTTGTTATACTTTTTCTTTTCCTCTTGGATGAAAGTATAATTGAATTAAAACAACCATTCACTGAGAAGTACTTCATTTACAGTAAGCTTAACTGTAGTAATTTTATCTGTCACACAAGATGCTGCTACCTTCTAAAGCTACATTTAAAAAAACTTGCTGTTTTCTTCCCTGGAAAAAATTGGAAATCACAGTTGGTAAAGTGACATTACAGGTCATGTTTTTTACAAACAAAAAAAGCAGAAGCTAGAATTTTCCAAAATAGTTGAATCAATACCTCTGGATATCTTTTCCCCGTAGAAGCGCATGTTTATATAACAGTTTTTGAGAAATTGGCATCTATCTGTCAACCATATGAGACAGATGATATGAGTCTAATCAAAGTCAGTGAATTCTGGTTAACAGTTCAGATATGTTTGAAACAGTAATGTTTAGCTTGTTTGGGTTTATGTCACATGAACAGATTTTACATTCTAAGGGGTTTGACTGTAGCTTGACTCTGGGCTTATTCACTTAAAAAACAGGGTGTGACATTAGGGCAAGTTGTAGGAGACAAGAACAAAGGGCCTGAGCTTTTTGTTGTTGTTGCATCATATTCTTATGAAATGGTATTGTAAGCCTAACAGGACAGGGAGAAAACAAAGAAAACTGGGATACAGAACTGTAGAGTTAGATAAAACAATTTCTATTAAATGCAGAGCTCTGGATCATACAAAGGGTAAGTGATTTGACCAAAGCCACAGAGGAAGTATGTTGCAAGTCAAAGGCTGGAAAATTTGTGCTCATGTTCTCAGTTATTTTTCTGCAGGAATTGATGGGCAATTGCAGGCAAATAACAGCTTTTTTTTTTTTTCTCATTCTGTCTTTATCACTGTCTTTCTATACTTGCTACATTTTGTTTGACCTTTTTATGTGGCACTGGAAAAAAAATCCAGGAAGGCAGTAGCTGCTATATTTTTACTGATATGCCACAGTTTCTGAAAATCCTATTAGTGTGTTATGTATTCTACATTTGGCACCACTAGAACAATGATTTTTGACTGAGTGTATAGCCGGGGGACTCTTCTAATTTGCATTGTTACAATTTTAACTAATATAATGATATCCCTGCAGGTCATTTGCAACATGCCTAATCTATTTGCTGAAGCAATGTCATATAAATTAGAATTGTGAGAAGATGATAGTAAATTATTAAGTTGGCGCGTCTAGAAGTTACAGTCCTTGAGCTGAGATGCAGCAACAGATTGTTGCAAGCCTCTCTTTCATGGCAAGTAAACTCTAACTAATTTAATGCTAATTTAAAAGTCACTATGCAGTTCCTGACTGTCTGACTGTACCTTACAATCTATTCTTTTAAATACTTTGGGTTTTTTTTCTCTAGGAAGTCTGAAATTGCTCACAAACTATCCAAAGCTTATTTATCTGACAGAGTCAGTACAAGGATAAGTTGGATGTTTCAGAAAATGAATTTTGTTAAGGGATGTGTGTGTGGCACTGGAAGCTGCTGCTGGTTTTAGATTCTGTTTCAGTGCAGGTGCATGGCAGCCCACCAGGCAGAATGGTTGCTCTGGCATGAGAACTGAACACTCTTTCCTTGGGTACAGTGTGGCCTCTGTATCCTCTCTAATGCCTTTGAGTTTGCTGTGTTTACTGAAGTAAATAGTGTTAGATGTTGACATCTTCGTATTCAGCAACTAATGTGAACTTTTCTTGGAAGTCTATTAAGTGTTGCCATTCCCTACTAAACACCTCTATATAGATATAATTTTGGCACATTTTGGAAGGAAGGGCAAGGCATGAGACAGAATGATCACTTGGGATTCCTTTATTCAGTCTAGTCTTACGTAGTATTGGCACGAGCACAGTGTTGTTGTGGCTGTCAGTGCAGTTCTTCATAGCCCAAATCTTCAGAAGAAGGAGATTTTCAGAATGACACAATAAACAGATATGTGCTGTTGGGGGAGCTTTTGGGACAAGACAGGCTTCCAGAATACAGAGTGCAGGCTGATAGTTGGAAAGTTGCTCAGATCTAGCAGTGAGTGCTGCCAAAGCAGGGCTCAAGCTAGACGGTTTTAAAACCTAGACAGGGATTGTATCAGGCATATATTTAGAAAATAATTATGCACATTCTTCTGAATATATAGAATGATGGTGAAAATTGTATCATTCATCAGGCATGTTGGTTTGAAAAACCAAGAAATGCTGTTAGATCCTGAGAACAGAGACATGGTATCTTTGTGAGAGATTCACAGACGCTTGATTTCATTCATCCACCCACACAGTCTGAGATAAGCATAAGAAAATTGTTCTACTTCAAGAAGGGAAGTTAACTGACTTGAAAGGCTGTCTTGGAGGTCAAGGACTTCTGTGATAAAACTTCTACATTTTTATTTGATCAATTTGCTGATTTTTCCACATAAGAGTTGGTTGGTTTTATATTTTCATGTTCTCAGAGCAGAGAATCCACATTTTGACAAATATACTGCTGTACAGTAAAAAAGAGTGCTATCAATGAAACTGCTGTCAGTACAATTAATGTACTTATTGCCATTTTCTTTCTTGTGATAATGTTTAATTCATTCTAACCTTAACAGAGATACGTGTTAAAAAGAAATGAGAGTGAATCTCAGACAAAAAGAATTCAGCAAATTAGTTTGGCCTAGGTAGAATATTTAACATTACAAAGAAAGCAACAACTTCCTCCCTAATTATATTACATTTTTGTCACTGTCTGATGGATCATTCATTGCTATAAATTATATCAGTACCATGTGAAATCTGTTTGAACCATGGTAATATGCACAGCTGAGGAACTGGTCCAGTATTAAAAGCACCTATTGGGTCTCAGAATTTGGATGGTCCTAATTGTTACAAGAATGGTCACAGGCATCTTCTAGTTGTTTCTTGATTTGAGAAATCAAATAGCTCAATAGTAGGATATGCAAACTATTTAGCATTACTATTAGAAACATTTATTGTAGTTTTAGAATAATGTCTTCATTTTTGTTGTTGGGTGTGCTTTGGAGTGCTGTGACTGGCTGAGCTCCAAGTGCCTGACTCATGCCAATTTCGAATGAGTCTTCATTAAAAAAAAAGTCTTACAAATAGGAAATGCCAGGAAAATAATTCAGAAAACTCCCCAAATCTCATAAAGGTTATTGCTTAAGTTAAATGTGCTTGAATTGTACAAGATTGGCATTTCAATAAAACACTCAAGATTTTGCAAGACAACATTTACTGACAGACCATCAGTTAAATCTAGTTTACAAATTATCCTTATTGTTCCTGTGAGCAATAAGATCCTGAGGGATCTTGAGGGATCTTATGGTCCTGAGGGATCTTCTCCTCTCACTTGGCTGAGCCCCAGCTGCTTTTGATTTTAATCTCCAGAAGAGATATTGTCTGGGTAAAACATAGCTCAGATACCCTGTCCTATCTAACACCAACCACTACACTTTGGTTAAAATCTTACTTGCTTCAGAACAAAGTGTCTGGTCTAAATGCCAACCTAAATGTTTTTGCACTCCTGTATTCATGGCATCTACAGAGTTGCTTTCAACTGTCTTGCAGGAAAACTGAAGTTCTCAAAA